GCTTCGAGTGCGTCAGTTTGGTTCCATGCCATTTCCATTCGCATTTCTACCAACTTTAGGCCCGGGTTTCACAGAGGTCCCTTATAAGTTATTTGGATGTTGAAAATAAAGAAAAGAAGGAAAAATTTTAATCCGCATATACTTGCCCAAGTTATATAGTCCTACTTTCTTTCTCTCTAAAAACTTAAATTTTGAGATTATTAATCTATAAAAAATTTGAGATGTTTTCTCTTTAAAAATTCCAAGTACTTTTCCTCCCTAAATTTGATGTGATTTCTCTCTGAGATTTTAAGATACTTTCTCTCTCTAAAACTTAAAATTTTAGATAATTTCTCTCAAAAAATTTTGAAATAATTTCTCCCTAAAATTTTTTAAGTACTTTCTCTCACTAAATTTTAAGATGCTTTCTCTCTATAAAACATAAAATTTGATATAGTTTCTCTCTCTAAAAATTTTGAGATAGTTTCTCTAAACAATTTATGTTCTCTCTTTAAAATTTGATCGACTTTCTCTATCTAAAGTTTTAAGGTGCTTTCTCTGTTTGAAACTTAAAATTTGAGATAGTTTCTCTCACTAAAAATTTTGAGATTGTTTCTCTCTTAAAATAATTTCAGGTACTTTCTCTTTCAAAAATTTGATAAAGTTTCTCTCTGCAAAATTTTAAGGTGCTTTTACTTGAGATTGTTTCTCTCTAAAATTTTGAGATGGTCTCTCTCTCTCAATTTTCAGGTACATTCTCTCTCTAAAATTTGATATAGTTTCTCTCTCTAAAATTTTAAAGTGTTTTCTCTCTAAAACTTAAAACTTGATATAGTTTCCCTTTTAAAAATTTTAATATAATTTTTCTTATAAGAAATTAAAATTTGAGATAGTTTCCCTCTTTAAAAATTTTGAGATAGTTTCTCTCTAAAAAATTTGAGGTACTTCTTCTCTCTAAATTTGATGTAGTTTTTCGTATTTGTCGTGTACCAAACATGCATAACATAATTTTCACATGAAAATATTTTGATTCCTATCAAGCATGCCCTAATTTTCGGGTCGAGGGACCGGTACGTGGAATCCACGGGCATTGAAAGGTAAAAAAAAAAAAATGTATGGAAATGAAATCATAAAAAAATTAAGTGATGTTTCAATATTTAATGTTCATGAAATTTTAATATCCTAGTTATTGAGCAAACCAAATGATGGATTTTAGTAATATCCAAGATATTAAAAATCCATACCCCAAATTTTATGTACCCAAACAGATTTGAAAAAAAGTAAAAATAACAGCAAAACTGTTCGTGGTAATAATTTTGACCTTATAATCCCAAAACAAGACTAGTACATGTTCAGCTTTTTTTTCATAAACTCATAACACAATAAACGTGGATCTTTAACATCATATATTAATACAATATATTTTGCTTTGGTATAAGGAGATCACAATGAACATTTTAGCCATTTGATAAAAAATTGGGCGGTTACATAAAATATTTTAAATTTGAAAAATTAAATGGCACATCTCCAGGATGCTAGATTTCAGGTCTCCACGGGGAGTTCTAAGTCCTATCATCCTTGTGCTAAAAGTAAAATGATGAAATGCATTCGAAACAAAAGCAAAACCTACCTCTTCTTTACTTATTATATCGGAGCAATACCAAAACACACAAAATCCGGTAGCATTTTATTGAAAATACAACACTGCAAATCCTAAAACTTGTTGTCTCTCAAACCAAAGTTGTTCAATATCCACAAACCCTAGAAACCTACATTCTAAAGGATAGTGCAAGCAGCAGGGGTAAAAGAAAGCATATTATCCTTGACATCAAACTGCACAACCATGTCCTGCTGAGCCAAGTTCCCCATAATGGAGACCTCTTCAGTAGGTGAACATATCATGTCTTCACTCATGGCTGGGAAAAAGTTCTGGGGCGAAATTTTCTAATCGGCACCTCCCAAAAAATGATAAGTGATATCAGGGATCCCGTCGAAGTTGTTAGGTTTCTTCTAGCAGAGCTTCAACACCGAGCTGGGGTCGTGAGGGGGTTCGTTTGCGGCTTCTAATTGGATCATAGCTTTCAATTCATCAGTTAGTAGTCCGTATCCTTCACTTGCCAGATAGCTTAATGTGGAGCCGGAATCAATTATGAACCCTCTACTGTCGAACGTTTCTGGAGGGATATTGAGCCTCTTATCGCCTACGCTGATGTCCTCAAGCTTTAGGAGTGGTAGGTTGGATTGTTCTGATCTCTTATTATCTTTGTTCTCTTGGTGTTTGGCCCATCAATCACTGGATTATCTCCGAATATCAACTTGCCTATGGCATCAGTGGTGGTGCCGGCAATATGAGAACTTGCCGGCACTTATAGTCCCCAATTGGGAGGCAAGCGAGAGGGGCCCTCCCCCAATCCCCGCGACTTCTGCCAATTCAAGGCCAAACTCCCCAGTGTTTCATGCCCGCACCCGAAACCGATTCCACTGAGCACTGTCTGAGTTGTACCAGCTCTAGAGGTCTCGAAAGTGGACTCAGTTGCAGGTACGCCTTTACTTTGTGATTTATCAGTGTAGGAGACCTCATGGGGAGAAGGGTTTTCTGTAGGGGTACTTTGGTGGTAGGCTCGACATAGAGAAGTGTGGTCGAGCTCAACATATGAGCATGAATGCTGGGGATCAAAAATCTCTTCATCTTGATTGAAGCAGTCCTCACAAGGTTCGCACTGATTCCACATAAGATCGCTCCGTGTCAAAACTTAGCCAAAAGGGTTGAGGTGGTGTCCCCTATGGTGATATTTATGAGGTACTCGCCTAGTATTTGCTTGATCTCCGTTTTAAGATCCGATGGAGAGTATTTAATGGAGATCGCCCATTGCAAGGCATTGTGGCGAGAGATGGAACGTTCGATGGCTAGAGAGCATAGGTAGAAGCCGAGTGGTTCTGGAGCAGAGAATGCACAGAGTCACGGTGGTGAAGATCTACACGGAATGAGGTAGGATTCAGAGAAAGATTAGAGAGAGAGAAAGGGAGGGTGAGGAGGAAGAAAGAGAGAGAGATGACTCCTTGGTACGTCATGTCTCTGCAAATATGGAGTCGTTTGGGGGAAATATTTGTGTATTTATTTACATTGCATGGGAATAAGTTGCGGTTTTCTGTGTTTCCACATTCAGAGTTTTTTTTTTTTTTTTCAATAAGCCCCTATTCTTTGTAGGAATTGATAGGAATTGAACGTAGGACGTAACATTGCAAATCGTCAAACGGGAATCAATTAAGCTGAGGCTCTTTTCCTATCACTTACCAAACAAAACATCATTTTTATTGACAATGAAATTATGAAATTAGCAATAGGAGCCATTCTTTTGTAAATTGGAGGGTGGTCTTATAAAAATAGGGTAAGAGCAATGCACCCAAAGGATTTTATCCTTGAAAAAAATATATCAACCCCTAGTTTAAGAAAAGAGATTCCAGATTAAAAACATTACCTTTTTTGTTCACAGGGATAAGAACTGGGCTGCAATGCTCTGCCTAAAAATTATTGGGCTGTTAGTTGAGTAATCAATGGGTTGCCCCTTCCTAATATGTCCAAACCAATTATTCATGAATGCAAAATAAAAGGCAATATGCAGCACCCTAATAAATACACAAATATCTCTACTTTTAGCATCTCTCTCTCATTCAAGCTTAAAGCTCAGGTGCAAGAGCCATGGGGTTGCTGGTTAGATCCAAGCTAAAGAGGAACCGTCCATTTTAAGTGATAAATGGTGGAGATCAATGCTATATTTGTCGAATCCTGCACAGAGAGGTATCAATAAGTATCATAGCAGTATGTTTACTGTCCTATTTTGGATACACATTCAATCTCAACCGACCAGTAATAGGTCTCTCGAAAGACGTGCTCCCATAGGAGTAAATTATTTACTTGCTCCCACGAGCAAAAGCCTACTCATATTGACATGTTTCACTCCGAAACAAGCAGGTGTTCTTTACTCATCCCAGTGATCAATCCAAAAAAAAATATTGAATTCGCACCTTAAAATTTTATTAAGTGGATCACTATTGAAGTGAATGCAAATCTTCCATTTGTTGGATGATGAGACCCTAGTTTTGAAAGATTCCAAAAAAAGAGACTAGTTTTGAATAACAAGTTTTGTAGACAAATATTTTTTTATGAAAGGTTTTAAAAAAAGTTATTTTTGAAACATTTTTTAAAAATTATTTATGCAAGTTAACAAATATATTTTTCTAAATTTCAAACAAATAATGTCCTTTGAGCAAGTGCCAAATTTTTTTCTTCTTCTAGAAGTGCACAATAGGATTATCATGCACATAAATAGGGGTGAGAAGGGGTCAAATGGTTAGATCCGGATCTTGATCTAAATAGTATCTATCAGATCTAGAGTGCAATGGAGTTGAAATCGGATCTTGGATTTTCGGATTTGGATATCGATTCAAAAAGTATACATCAGATCCGGATTTGGATTCGAACAGTATACATCAGATCTAAATCCAGATCGGATCGGGATCGGGATCGGGATCTAGATTGTATAATAGTATTTTAAAAATTATATATAAAATAAAATTTATTATTTAAAAAAAATCGGATTGGATCTGGATCTAAATTCCAATCGGATCCTAATCGGATCCAACTGCACCCAGAACAGATTCAAATTTCAATTTGGATCTGAACTTTGGATTCAGATCGAGATTTTGGATCCAAAATTTGTGTCCATATCCGGATCTGCATAGAGTCCAAAATCAGGATTGCGGGTTATTTATCATTCCCTACCCATAAACAAAGATCAGGGTGGTTCTAACATCCTTTTGCCAAAAGTAGAATGATGATATATGCATTCGAAACAAAACATGAGCAAATAAAATCTTTCTGCTTTGCTTATAAAGCAGAGCAATACCACAATACACAAAATCCAGTAGCATTTATTGAAATTACAACACTGCAAATCCTAAAACTTGTGGCCTCTTAAACAGAAGTCGTTTAATATCCGCTAACCTTAGAAACCTACATTCTAAAGAAGGCAAGCAGCAGGGGCAAAAGAAAGCATATTATCCTTGACATCAAACTGCACAACCATGTCCTGCTGAGCCAAGTTCCCCATAATGGAGACCTCTTCAGTAGGGAGAAGAGCCAAACATATCACATCTTCACTCATGGCTGGGAAAAAGTTCTGGGGTGAAATTTTCCAATCGGCACCTCCCGAAAAATAATAAGTGATATCAGGGATCCCGTCAAAGTTGTTAGGTTTCTTATAGCAGAGCTCCAAGAGCAACTTGGGGTCAGTTGAGGGGTCGTTTGCCGCCTCTAATTGGATCACAGCTTTCAATTCATCAGTTAGTAGTCCATATACTTCATATGCCAGATAGTTTAATGTGGAGCTGGAATCAATTACGAACCCTCCACTGTCGAATGCTCCTGGAGGGACATTGAGCCTCTTATTGCCTACGCTAATGTCCTCAAGCTTTAGGAAATGGTGTGTCGGATTGTTAGGGTCCCTTATTATCTCTGTTCTCTTAGTGTTTGGCCCATCGATCACGGGATTATCTCCGAATATCAAGTGGCCTATGGCATCAGTGGCGATGCCTAAGGTCAGGCAATACGAGAACTTGCCCGCACCTACAGTTGCCAACTGCGAGGCAAGCGAGAGGGGCCCTCCCCCAAGCCCCGCGACGCCTGCCAATTCAGGGGCAAACTCCCCAGTGTTTTCGTGGCCACACCCGAAACCAATTCCACTGAGCTGAGTTGCATCGCCTCTCGAGTTCTCGAAAGTGAAGGATTCGGTTGCAAGTTCGCCTTTACTCTTTGAATTATCAGAGTACGAGACCTCATAGGGGCAGGGGTTTTCGGTTGGGGTACCTTGGTGGTAGGCTTGACATAAAGGGGCCGTGTTGTTGATCGCGACATATGAGCATGAATGCTCGGGATCGAACTTCTCCTCATCTTGTTCGAAGCAGTCCTCACAAGGCTCGCATTGAGTCCATAGAACATCGCTCCCTGTGTCAAAACTTAGCCAGAAGGGTTGGGGTGGTGTCCCTAAGGTGATATTCATAAGGTACTCACCTACTGTTCGCTTGATCTCGGTTTTAAGACCCGACGGTGAGTACTTACTGGAGATCGCCCATTGCAAGGCATTGTGGCGAGAGATGGAACGTTCGATGGCTAGCCTGCGAAGAGCATAGGGAGAAGCTGAGGGGTCGTGGAGCGGAGAATGTACAGAGTCACGGTGGTGAAGATCTGCACGGAATGAGGTAGGATTCGGAGAAGGATTAGAGAGAGAGAGAGGGAGGGTGAGTAGTAAGAAAGCGAGAGAGAGGAATCCTTCGTATGCCATGGCTCTGCAAATATGGAGTTGTTTGGGGAACATATACGTGTATTTACATGTTTGCACTGCATGGGACTTTAGCGATGAAATAAGTTGCAGTTTGTTGTGTTTCCTAATTCAGAGATTTCTCTTTCTCACTTGCCAAACAAAAAACTGATTTGTTTCTTTTTCTTGCAAACTCATATCAATTGTGATCCCCCTCTTTAATCCTTACCTTTTTTCCAAAATTTTATGCTCACTTACTAATCCTATGTAATTTCCCAAATGTTATGATCTTTATTTCAAAATATTTATTCCCTCATTTTTTTTTTCCTTAATCAAAATTATATATTCTTTATTGTCCATGTCATTTTTTGAATTTGAGGTTCTCCCTATATTTCTTGTTCGAATCATCATTGTCTTTTTCCAAGGTTCTGTTTTGCTTTTTATCAAGAGCCATAAATTAGAAATGGCATAAATCCTTATATATTTTCTCACTACTCCAACCAATCTAAAAAACAACTTACTTTGTGGTCCTTTGTTGTGGCTAGGCTCAATCTCAACCATTGAAGTGTACTTATACAACCTATAAACACGTAACAGGTTTCTTGAAAGACTTTGTACTCCCACGAGCAAAAGCATACACATATTTAGGGGTAGCAATGGACCTGACTAGACCTTGGGCATACCTAATCTCAGGTCTGAATATGGTTCCAAATTTTGGACCCAAATACAATTAGGGTTTGGGTCCATGTCCTACCGGACCTGATCCATACCCAACTTGTACCCATAATTAAAAAGGTATATGATGATATTCATGTGTAATATTATCACAATATTAGCAACATCAGTAATATTATGGGTAAAAAAAGAAGAAGTTCATAGTCATAAGTTATATGATGGTAAAAAAAAAGGGCCAAACAAAAAAAAAAAAGCTCATAGTCATAGGGTCGTAATGAATCCGACAAAACCCGAGACCCGATAGATATGGGTACAAGTCCAAATTTTAGATCCGAATAATATTTGAGTCCTAATCAGGACCCGACCATCTGCCACTCCTACTCATAGTGATATATTTCACTCCAAAACAAGCACGTATTCTTTACTCATCCCAGTGATGAATCCAAAAGAAATATTGAATTCGCACCTTAAAATTTTATTAAGTGGATAACTCTTGAAGTGAGTGCAAATCTTCCATTTGATGGATGATGAGACCCTAGTTTTGACAGATTCAAAAATCGAAACCCTAGATTCGAAAACTTTTTTCTTTTTTTTTTTTGTAAAAAAAAGTATTTTGGGTTTTAAAAAAAATTGAAACATTTTTTTTAATTATTTATTTGGGGTAGCAAATATATTTTTCAAAATTTTCTAATAAATGAAGTCCTTCAGAGCAAGCCCCGATTTTTATGTTCTTCTTCAAGAGGAGCACAATAATATTTATCATAGATATAAAGCATACTGAAATGCACAATTTCTGGGATAAAAATAAAAAGGTTAGAGGGGCATTTTGGGAACTCAAAAATCAATACATTGCAATAGAGATTATTGTACCACTTCATAAAAAATAGTCCATTAAAGAGAGGTTAGAGTACTAAACGGCTGGCTAATAGTAGTTAAATTATAAAGAGAAGAGAAACTTACGATAATATCCTCGAAATTAATGTTTTTATATTCTTTTTTATTTTTAAATTCCCCGAATTGCCTTTTCTTATACCTTGAAAATCCCAATGTCTCAAGTCATACCTAATAGTGTAACTTTGTATCCTTAAGACTTGGAAGTAATTTTTTTACTCATAATCCCAGCTTCGAATCTTCAAGGTCAAACAAAGTTGTGCCTAATATTGTCAATTCAAATATTGAAGATATGAAGTCAGAGGTATGAATTTGTATCTTAAATAATTTGGGAAAAAAAAGATAAAATTATATGAACATAAAATTAAACATTTTTAGGGGGTTTCTTAGTTAAAAACCATGCCAAAACTGGGCAAAAATCAAAATATGGGCTGCATTAAAAGAAAAAAGGTGCGGATTATATAGAGCCAAGGCTCTAAACAATCAAAGTAAAGCGCACATTCAAATAGTGTCGAGAAATGTTGTTTCAGTACTGAAAATCTTTGTGATAGCCTTAAAATATACTTTCATCTTTAATTATAAAATTTAAAGCTTCAAAACTAGTGTAGATCGAGCAAATCTATGCAAATTTGAAAATCTTGAAAATTGACGGTCCAAAAATACGTTACAAGATGTACTATTTTCAAAACTTGAAATCCATTTGTTCTCATGTCCATGTATTTTGATATCGAGATGATAAATTTTAGGATATTTGGGCATCAAAACAACCTCTTCTAGTGAAACTTTTGAGGTGGGCTATCTTGAATTTCAAAATGGTGGCAGGACTAGATAATAAAATTCGAAGGAGATAGGTTGAGTGGACATGGTATTTTAAAGTTGTTTCAAACTTATTTTTGATGGAAGTTTTTCAAGAAATCCCGATATTAGAAGATTAGTTAGAGACCACAAGGGTCATATTCTGTTATCCTACTCGAGACCTTGTGGTGTGGTCACAACTAATGGAGCTGAAGTTAGAGCCCTTTAGGACGGGTTAAAGCTACAATCTTTGTTTGATGGCCACAAGATTATTGAAGAGGATTCTACCAACATAATTTCTTGGATTAAGGGGACAGAAAGGATACTTTGGTCATCAATTCATGTTTTGGATGAAATAGAGGATCTCATGTCTAGTAAATGTGTGGTTTTAAATCATTGTTTTAGGGAGGGTAATAATGAGGCTAATGATCTCTAGCTTAAGATGATGCTCATCAACCCTCATGGGTATTCACTGTATAATCTTAATCGTTTTTGCACTTTATATAATCTCAATCTTCTTTGCACTTTATTGTACATATTTTACTTTTGGACAAACTTTCTATGTTTCTCCTACAGCATAGAAGTTATATCTTTCCCTTTATCCAGCCGTCCATTCTGAATGGAGGGCTAGGATTGTCCCAATCACAATGTCATGTCTATACACTATTTTATTTTTAATTTTTTTTTCATAAACTATTTTTACTCCAAATTTTGGAATTCCATGCCTTTATTAAACTCTCACTAGCAAAAAATATATAAAAAATATTTTCAATAAAAATAAAATGACCAAAATACCCTAAAAGTTTCAAGGGATATTTTGGTTATTATATTTTATCGAAAAATTATTTTTGATATTTTTTATAAGTGCACCCCAATGAGAAGATGACACGTACCAAATTTCATATTCATATAATTTGTATAAAACAAACTAAAAATAAAATACTTTGAGACGTCGGATCTAAGATCAAACGGTGAATGACTCTCTTGATCAAAATTGGACGACTGGATGATAGGGGGAGGATAGAACTTCTATGCAATAAGAGAAGCATATAAACCTTTCCATTTACTTTTAATGAAAAGTTACATGTTAATGCTAAAAAAAAAAAAATTCCTCTTGAACTCCTCGATCTTTATTCAAACTTGTCTAAGTTGCACTCGTTAAGGATTTCAAAACTGAATAAGATGGGGTATTTAAGATACGTAGAGTACATGAAACATTTGTATTCTAACGTATTAAGTGTTAAGTATTAACTACCCTGGAATCCGACGTACATGAAACATTTGCATTCTAATGTTAAGTATTAACTACCCTAGAATCGGGCGTGGGCTGGAGCGTTTCTCTTTCTAAAAATTTTTATGTAGTTTTCCTCCAAATTTAATGTAGTTCCTTTATCTAAAATTCTAATATTTTTTTTTTTTTAAAAAAAAATTACAGGTATTTTCTCTATCTAAAATTTGATGTAGTTTTTCCCATTAAATTTTAATATTATTTCTCTCTCTAGAACACAAATTTTGAAATAATATCTTCTCTCTAAAATTTTTGAGATAGTTCTCTTTCTACAAATTTTCGGGTACTTTTTTCTCTAAAATTTGATGTAGTTTCTCCTACTAAAATTTAAATATACTTTTTCTCTAAAGCTCAAAATTTGAGAATCACTCTCTAAAAATTTTAAGATGGTTTTTATCTCTAAAAATTTCAGTTGCTTTCTCTCTCTAAAAGTTAATATAGTTTCTCTTTAAATTTTTAATATACTCTCTCTAAAACTCAAAAATTGAGATAGTTTCTCTCTCTTTTTTTTTAAAACAAGTTTATCCCTCTCTTTAATAATTTTAGGTAGTTTATCTATTTAAAATTTGATATAATTTCTTTCTCTATAATTTTAATGTACTTTCTTTCTCTAAAACTTAAATTTTGAGATTATTTCTCTCTTTAAAATTTTTGAGATAGTTTCTCACTAAATATTCTAGGTATTTCCTCACTCAAACTTAAAATTTGATATAGTTTCTCTCTCTAAAAAAAATTGAGAAAATTTCACTCTCTAAAACTTTCTAAGTACTTCTCTCTCTAAAATTTGATATAGTTTCATTATAAAAATTTCCAGGTGGTTTCTCTCTCTAAAATTTGATATCGTTTATTTCTTTAAAATCTTGTAATATTTTTTTTCTCTCTAAAAGTAAAATGATGACATAGTTTCTCTCTCTAAAATTATTGGGGTAACTTTAAAAATTCTCATGTACTTTTTTTCCAAAAATTTATAATTATCTCTCTAAATTTTAAGATGTTTTCTCTTTCTAAAACAAAAATTTGTGACAGTTTCTATCTCTAAAAGTTTTGTGATAGTTTCTCTACAACATTTAGGTACACTCTCTCTAAAATTTGGTATAGTTTTTCTCCCCAAAATTTTTAGGAACTTTTTCTCTTAAAAATTTAAAATTTGAGATAGTTTCTTTCTCTACAAATTTTGTGATTGTTTCTCTTTAAATATTTTTAGGCAATTTCTCTATCCATTGTTTGTTATAGTTTCTCTCTCTAAAATTTTAATATATATTCTTTCTCTAAAAATTTTTAGATAGTTCTCTCTCTAAAAATTTTCAGGTACGTTTTTACTCTAAAATTTGGCATAGTTTCTCTCTAAAACTTAAAATTTAAGATAGTTTTACTC